ATTTCTAGAAAACGTTTGGCGAAACCTATCCATTTCTTTAAGCTGTGGGATTGCTCAAATGTGAATGCATCATTCTAAAGAAAATGAAAATKAAATGAAAAAATCTAAGCGTTGCTTGTCTTTTCTAACTCGGACAATACTATGACGTATGCAACATCGGGTAATATGAGTTCATTTTATTCGTAATGCATAATTATTCCTTGGCGTTTTGGAAGTTTACACAGTTCCAAGAACAGTTGAACACACATCTTGTCAAGAACTGCGCCCAGACGGTAAGACTATTCTCGATATTTTCAATTCAGCTCGCTAACTTATAAATCAATCATTATTTTTTAAGAAGAAAATTGAAAAAAAAAAGAGTTTCAATTTGCCTGTTTTGGGTCATGTTTATTTATGCTATGATAAATGTGAAAAATAGGAGAAAACGCCGGAGAGAGAGATCTGAGAGAGAGACAGAGAGAGAGAGAGAAACACACAGGGAGAAAAAGAGAGTAAGGTTAAATCCACTAAGTTGTTTTGGACAGCTGGACGCCTCTCAATTCAAGTTATACCTCTTGAATTAAGTTTCTTACCAAATGAAATTTTTTCGCTGACTCAGATTCGGCTGTTTTACTTTACTCTAATAGACATTGATAATACAGCATACTATATTTCGTATTTCTTTATGCAGCTTTCGTGACTTTAACTAAACGATGGTATAAACGAATTAGGTAGAGATTAAAGAGTATTAATGGAAGAAGGAAGAAAAAGACTGAAGATGATGATGATGATGATTGTGGTAAACGTGGGGTCCAAACTTGAACCATTTTCATTAAGTATTAGGTGATTTTTGAGGCCACATTTTTGTCGTAACTAAATCTACTTTGAAAAGTAAAATTTTAGTCGCAGGAAGAAAAACTCCTAACTTCTTCAAGTGGTCGACAGGCAGCTGTTGAGGTTCAGATCATCCTTGAAATCCTTATCGTTATGGGGCCTTTTTTTCTTTTTGTTTTGGTCACTTAATGGTTATTTCTTCAAAACATCACACACTGGTCTACAAAGACTGCCGCAATTTGTTTTTCTTTCAAGACACAACCCTTGAGCACAAATCCATAGCTTAATTACTTTGTTTTGCTTGATGGAAGCATTGATTACTTCCGATGGAAAAAATATAGGGACTGTCGTTACTCAGTGGATGTTGATGTGCGATTTTCCGTCTCTGATGCATAGTGGGAGATGGAATGAAGTAAGAGCAAGAGACTGAGAGAGAAAGGAAGGACGGAAGTGTAGGGGAGAGAAGTTAGAGAAAACACAACTGGATGAAATAGAAAGATCTAGAAAAAAAGAGAAAAAAGCAACAAATAGGTATGGAAAGAGAAAGAGAAAGAGAAAGAGAAAGAGAAAATAAAATATCATAGCTGTCAGTAGAAATCGGAAAACGAAGGGAAAAAAGGATAAATGAAAAGGAAAACTGACGAAAAATTTGTAACATCATTTACTTGATCGACATTTCGCCTGACATTGATCTCCAATTGAATTTAGATCCAATAACAAGAGATAGAACCGTGACCGAATTATTAAAGATTATCAGGAAACATCTCTGAAGAAGGCTGGATCATCTAGATCCGATTTATATAGGCTATGCAATGCTTGCAATAGTACTGACAAGAACTCGCACACATGGTATATTCAAGTGAATCACAAACACTTTTCAAACTGACAAAACAAAAACGGCTTAAATCAGACTAAATATCTTGGCGAATTTTGAAAAATATTATCAAACGACTTATTATCTGTAATGATAATCCTATAAAATATATTCTAAGCTAGAGGAGTTTTCTTATTACGTAAACTCAAATCCAAGAATATCTGAACTCTAGTATTTTAGTGTCTGCGATGAAACGAAATCGTTAGGCATATTAAGACTAATTATAATATAACTCAAAGATGTTGCGTTCGTGATTAAAGAGAATTACAGGTAAATAGCAAAAGCCTGGAGGCTAGGTGATTGTAATTCGGTAAAATATGATTTTGCTATTTTTGGATTAGAATTTAAATTATTTTGAAGGAACGTAAACTTATTTTTTTATCGTTCATTGAATTTTGACAATTTTTTTTGAAAGTCTCGATTTGAACGGTAATTTTTGATTCGTGACGCAGAATTTCTTGTAATTTTTTATAGAATTTTATTTAGACTTTAGATCCAGCTGATTAATGAAGAGCATTTACATTGTTTTGAACACATTAAAGCCATAAAATTAGTTACAAGTTGGTGCGAATGTTCGATCTGTTTGTTTTAGATCGACCTGTCTCGTCGCTTAAAACAACTTCGTACAATTCCTTACATTCAAAGTGTTTTATCAAATGAAACTTGTTATGCTCTAAAATATTTATTTTTTGTTCACCTTCGGTTGTTCGTTCTTCAATTAGCTAGGTTATTACATCTCCTTCAAGTTGTTTTATCACGATTGGCATACGGCTATTAAGATCAACAAGATCTCTGGCCATCACTTCCCTGGCCGCAACTCTTTGAGAGATTCATTCCTCGATAATCGAATATACAAGTTACTTTTACTTTGTGGCAAAAGATACCGGCCAATATTTGACAAATATGTTAAAGTAGCAGAATTTCTCAAGGAAAATCAATAAAGGAGAGGGTCTAACTGTCAACTAAAGTCGTAAATGCGATTCTTGTACGAGGGCAGAAGGAAAAATGAAGGTGTGACTGATGGTAAGAAAAGTATATTTTCCAATTCAGTTTGCGCTTTATTTATACTTAATCTAGAAATCTTATTTCCTTTATCCGATTTCAATTTATCCATTTTTTCAATGTCATCTTTAGTTTTTATATTTTTTTGAGCTGAATCTTTCTATTTTCGTCCATTTGAAGCGCTGTTACGTTAGCGTTGCATCAGCACACTGATGATCAGAACGACCAAAGCGATGTATYAAAATTAATTTTTTTATCAAATTATTCTGCCTTTTTCTTATTCTAAAATTAATTTTTTTAAATTCTCTTTTACACAATAGTCCCTTAGCCATTCAATAAGCTTTCATAAAAACCTTTTATTTTTCAATTTTTTAATATTGTAATCGCTTTATGAGCTCAAAATCTTAACCTAAACTTTGCATTCAGACTTTTTTCAAGTCTTATATTTTGATCAGTTTTTGTCGTTGAGATTAAATTCTAAGACCACTAGGAAATAAGAACAAGAGGACTTCAGATAAAGATATAAGTTGAAAATTCAAATCAAATCCGTAATTTGCCGACGTTAATGATCAAATAAATTATTTTAAATTAATAATCATTAGTGAAGGAATAACAATACGACACTGAGGTTATTGTGGGCACTGATTTCGTAAAAACTCTCTTCAAAATAAGAAAGAAAATAATGAGCTTTGCTTCCTCTTTTGTCATAAAAATATAGTTTTCTCTCGCAGAAAGTTTTCTCTCGCAGTCGAAATAGAAATTAAATCGATGTAGTTCGTTTTTCTAAGTGGAAGAGTCATTTAAGAAATTTCTTAATATAGTAACATAATTTTGACAAATACATCTTATATTTCAAGCGATTCCATTGTGCAGAAAATATAACTTCCCATGAAGATCCAAAAACAAAAATACCCAAGTTCAGCTTTAATTTGGTGTTTTTAATGGAGTTTATGATAAGTACAAAGCTCTCAAGAGAGAATTTTTGAAACCGTAGACCCGGTTACTCATAGGTCGATTTTGTTAGGAAACACGACCTATAACACAAATGGACTGTAAATGAAGTCATTAATTAGCGATATGGTAGTTGATGTTTTAGTGTATTATGATAAAAATATTTCACAGGATATTTAGGGAGTTAGAAGCCGCCGTTAAAAGCATTTAGAACAGGAAGCTATAGAAGAAGTATTACTTCGGAGTTAGCGAACTGGCAAGAGAGGTATGTGCAGAATAAATGTGAATCGCTCGTCATATTTTCTCGCTTTTAGCCATTATTCAACCAAATTCATCTACAACTGTATATGATTCAAAATAGTTATCGTTATCCTATATATGAGTTTATCTTCTAGTCGTAAGAGTATTAAAATCAATCCTGAATCAATGGAATCCTTGCTAATTTTGAATCAGGGAGGACTAAAAATAAGATTATTTTTTTGTTACAAATATTGATCACATCTATTTATAGATCCACTCCTTCGTGCAAAAAATCTCAGTTGCCGGGAATTTGACCCATGATCCTTTGCGTTTATGTTTCCACAGATTTTATATATTATTATCTTTAAATGCTTTGCAATTGTTTTTTTTTTTTTAAAAAAAAACAGTTGTTAACTTGTTGTACGTTAAACTGGAAATAAGAATCATTCAATTCAAGAGTATTAATGTTTAAGAGACAAAAATATTCATAATTTAGACAATTCAGTTCTAAAGTTCGCTCGCCACCCGTAAAATCAACTTGCCTGACATTCTGAGTGCGCCGGTAGTTAAAGTACAAATTTTTGGAAAGCGTTACAAGCGTTACGTTTTACTACCATATTTCCATTGCCAAAACCATTGCCAAATACTTATCAAGCTCAAAGGTCACTGCTTTTATCGAAAACTATTATTTCCGAGGGATTTGGGATTAGTGGGTCGACTTTATCGCAATTGATGTACAAGGTTTAAGGTGCCTTGTCATGTTGTGAATTGAAGTCGAAAAGAAAAGTATGGTGCCTAGTGAAGCTGACATAGGGTAATAAGGAAGAAAATTAAGAATAATTCCGTAAATCCTTGAAGTATGTGACATCATCATGATCCGTTAATATGTTTTATTACTTCCATCTTGTCTGATTAAGCGATGACAAAAAACCATCATCAATTAAATCAAACAAAGTTACATTGAGGGCTTAACTTAGATTAACTTGAAGCACTTATGAACGGTGAGACCTATCTCGAAACTATCTTTGATGTCTCTGGAATCAGCATGAATTATGCCCTTATCGGCGTATTTAGTTTTTAGCAAAATGGCTAATTTTGTATTATTATGTTTGTATTTTAGATCGTGGGAAGTAGATAAAGACTAGAAAAGCTGTCAGTGACTTGTGGATTCGCGCCAAACGAGTTTTTTTTCTTCTGAACCCACTGTTCGATGCCGTTAAGCCTCAGTTACAWGGTCACGGAGAAGCTCCTGCTGTAGAGATGAATTCTACCTTCGGCATTGAGCCAACCACCAGTGTCAACGCTGTAACTACAGCTCCGCCTATAGCTGCACAGGCTTACTTCATCGAGCCAAACCCTTCGAAGATATTTCGTTATGTTTTGTACGCGCTGCTCTTCTTATTCGCAGTAGTAGGTAACATCGCAGTTTGCGTCGTGCCCATACGTCAAAAGCGAATGAGAACTTTTACTTATTTTTTGATTACGAATCTTGCGGTGTCGGACATCGGGACAATGCTCTGTCTGCCTCCCCTCTTAATGTTCGACTATACGTCCACATGGTCAATCGGTGAAACCATGTGTAAGCTTGTCAATCCAAGTCTAACCATGTTCAGTCTCATCACGACTAACACATTGGTCGCCATCGCTATCGACCGCTTCATGTCCTTAGTATTTCCGTTTGTGCGACGCCCACAAAAAAAGGAGACAATCTTAGTGGTGACTCTGACATGGTTGGTGGCTTTTGCCTGCGTGCTGCCGTCGTTCGGTGCTAGAAAACTTACGCCCATTATGGAAGGGGGCCATGTCTTTGTATACTGTGACGAAGAATTCCCTGGAGATACAGTCGAAGATAAAATATACCACAAAAAGATCTACGACATAGCCTTGTACCTTATCAACAACACCATTCCCATCATTATCATCTCCCTCGTCTATGTCATTATAATATTCAAGCTAAAGGGTATCTCGCTGTCCAAGGTCTTCAAACGGAAATCATCCAAAAGCTCCTTCGAAGGTTACTCCCAACCAGCTCTAAACAGCGACGAGGTGTACTTGAAACAGAAGAACGAACGCGAGAGGAAGTTCATGCAAATGTTGTTGAGCGTGGTGGTGGTATTTGTTCTGTTTTACGTGCCTGTCCAGACGTTGTTCTTGCTAAATACTCTCTTACCAAGTACGAGTGGATGGTATTACCTCTATATAACTTATTATTATCTGTACCTCATGATGTGGGTCCCAAACGCCCTGAATCCGATCCTCTACGGCGCTATGAACGAACAGTACGCCAGAGCATTCAAAAAGATACTGTGTTGCAGATGGAAAAGCCGCAAAGACGGGTTTGGTTCGACGTTGGGTTCTTACTCTAGAGCTCCGACAACGACCAAGAACACCAGAAATGACGTTGCTGGGTCGAACACGAGAGAAACAGAAATGACCTTGATGTAAAGCGGAATTAATATATTCGAGTTACTTGTTCAGTGACACAGAAATCATTCTATGTTGCAGATAGAGAAAATAACGCAAAACTAACCAGGAGCGACATTTGTCACGTGAACTGACTATTTACCTCTTTGAACTTTCATAAGGCGTGGCTTCTGCGTAACCAAAAGTACCAAATGAACCACACAAAATCATCCGTCTTTAATGACTCATTATTAACACCGTGCAATTCAAAGCAAGAGAAGGTTAGAAAGTTGAATGAATACGAAGCGAATGGTACGGTAATGGTTGACAGTGATGCACGGCACCGCACAGTGATGCATGTTGATTGATAGTCATGGACTATGATGTGAATTAAGGACAGGTATGGGTAAACAATGATCCACGAGAAKGTGTATGTCATGAAAACGATGAAAGACATCAACTGCCGAACAGYTGCGATGAAAATGGCGAACATATAAATAGTTGATGATGGACAACGATGAACGATGATTAACTGCGATGGACAGTGATCCACACTGGTGAACGGTTAAGAACTGATGGACAATAATCAATGTAAAGTAATGAGTGTGTACTATGATATACTAGACAACGTATTCAGAGACCTTTAATATCTTTAGCAGTGAAGAAACTGCTTATATAGTTATAGCATCTAGCACAGAACACCCTAAACGACTGTATTACTGTAGACTACATTACCGCAGTTGATTCGAAAAAAAAAAAAAAAAACAAAAACAAACAAACTAAAGTAGAATTCGTGTGACTGAGAGACGGTACAGACATTGGTTTGCACGTTTAACGTTAGGATCACTCAGCCAATGAAAATGCTTTGACTCGGCACGGTCACAATCAGGACACGGCACGGGTAGAACGCGCGCGGCACTGCACGTCCGCGGTGCGGTACGTTTTCCCAGTCATACATATATATGAAATACATCTATTTCTCCCATCTCTCTCAGTCTTTGGTAGGAACAACTAGCTCTATTATCTCACGGCGTGTATTGTGATCTCCTTTGGCCAAAGTTCTTGCATAAGCTAAGCTTTGCATAAACCACGGGCGACAATCGAGGTATTGACTAACCTGCTACGAGCGCTTTAAAGTTCAATTGCATCATATATTATATTAAATACTAACTATTCTGTAGCAATTTGTAGAGTAATTTCTATGAATGGAAATTACGATAGATATTTAGTAGAGTAAGTAATAAAGTAGATTATATTAGTTGTCAAACCATATCACTGGCAGCCTTTCTTTATTGTGTACCACTCTCTCTCAGTGTCTTTTATGCGCATGCAGATTTGGTTACCCAAACCCTCATCAGTCATAACGAGCGAGAAGAGTTTGGGTATCCAGTCACTGTCAGACCTTAATTACTTAAGAAACTAAAGGCGTCATAGACCCCTCGACTTATATCCCAACATGGGGTCAAAGCAATTAAAAATATTAACATAAACAGAAGATTTGAATCTCCAAGAGAAGTGATTCTTTGGACGTCTCGCCCATTGTTCCCCCCACCCCACTACCGGTGAAAAAGCGAGCACTGAATGTCTTCTAATAAGGTGATGCGTCATCTTTCCGCGAGACTACTTTTGTAAGCTACTTTCGTCTCATTACCAGTCATAGTTTCGCAGTGAGGGAAATAAATGCCAGGAATACACTCATCTGGTGTATGAATTTTGAAAAACTATATGAAAAGAATATCATATAGTCGGAATGCATTGAAGATGTTAGCCTGCAATATTGACCACTTCGATCTTTCTGTTTTAAACTCTATTATACGACTTCGTAAAGCCGTAAAGTCCATACGAYGCCTCAACTTCGACCAGTCAAAGTAATGGTATTATGTTATAATTGATGTTTTGAAATTCATTAAGGTTGTCGTAGTGAAACTTAATATTGGGTTTCCTTTAGACTCAATGCTAGCAATGAATTCTGGGTCATAACATGGAACGCCTGCTGGAAAAAGCAGGAACAAAAACATCGATGTTGTTCACGTTATGTAACTACAATTCCCTTCTTATCAGATCTCAATAATTTACCCCTCTTCTTGTCCCGATTTCTGCAAGAAGGACCTCACATTCATGATGTGTGCTTGTCGAGTAATTTCGAGAGCAAAAGCGCTTACATTACAGGGATATCGCCATGCTTGTCATATAATGCTTCATACATCTTTCCCTGATCATGTAAAGTTGTTTGGGTACTATCCGATTAAAAACTCTGTTTTGGTGAGTATTAACTCTTTTATCTCTTTCTACTTAACCTTGAAATTTAATTCATTGTATATTTTTGATTTCTTATGTTGCAATTCTTACGACAACGAAAACAAAAATCGAATTTTGTGTTGAAGAGTACACGTACATGTACAGCCTTTTGATTGGTTAGGGATTATGAATAATCGACATAGGAATAACATTTGAACACGAAAGCCGTCAAAAACTTGCAATGGAAAATAAAACTATCTATCCTTCAGTACAGGGCATCTAGAATTTTGGTCGTTCAATAGATAAGAATAAATTTTTAAACGTAGATTATTTTAGCAAATTGATTTGTGTATTTGTGTATTTTCTGCCAGGAAATTAAATATCCATGCTTCCCTGAAGGTAGAAACTTAGAACCCTATTCCCTCCAGAGATATATACATTCTTTGTTTATTCCAGTATAAAGTAAAGTCATAAAGAATCATCATCATGTCTATAGGGCTGAAATCAAGGCCTTTTATCTCTCTCTTACCTTTGTTAGTAGTGCAATCTCTTCCAAAGTCTTGCCCATCTCCTGCAATGCAACTCCTTGTGTATTGTTCTTTTCCATGTTTCTCTTGGCCATCCCCTCCATACATTCCCTGTCCCAATGTCAAAGCAAGATTGTTTTTTTATCCTTTTGTGGCCGGGTAGCCTGTATATCTGGGTCTGGCAAGGGGACTCGGGTGGCCACAAGGGCTGTCTGGTGTGAGAGAGATGTGAAGAGCCGCCATGTTGTAATATTGTTGATAAGTGTTTATGTAATAAAAGTACATTTGTGTAAATACCTGGGCCACACTTTAATTCATGTGATGAGTGTGTAGTCTTGGATCCAGTAGAACATCATTAGGGATCTGCTCCATTGTCCTGTATATAATTGATATCCTGATCGTCAGTTTCCATAGGTATAACAGTATAGTGTGGTAGGGTTGCTGACCCCACGCACAAGTTTGCCAGAGCCCTGTTTGCCGGCTTTACCCGTTACCACCTCTCACGGACGAGGAYGTAGGGTTGGACTTTGAGAGGCATAACGAATAGCAAGAAATATTAATMAGTGAAAGTACAGGTATTGGTTACAGTACCTATAGTAACTAGACCTCATTAAGCTAGACTTTTCCTCAAAGCCAGTAAAGTTATATACCCTACCTTATAACTCCTCACTCCTATTGAAATCACCATTTATGTGAATATTCTCTAAGAAGGGGCAAAAGAGTTATTATTTGTTACTATACGGCTGTGTGTTTTTTGTTTTCAAGATGCAACTTCGTTTTGATGGCACGATTGGTTTTCCCGGTGGATTTGTTGATAGTGACGAAAGCCTTGAAACTGCAGTAAACAGAGAAGTGACAGAAGAGTTGGGAAAGACAACAGAGCCTCTTCTAATCACTCAGGAGAATTACGTTGTTACCCATTTATATGAAGAATTTGTTGCTGAATTAGACATGACCAAACGTCTTTGCTTACATTTCTTTGCCAAGAAAATAACTCCTAAACAGTTTCTGGAGCTTGAAACCAGAAAAGAAGATATGTCTAATATTGATTTTGAGGTAAATAGAAGATCTGCTCAGTACGTTTTCGGAACCTTGTAGGAAAAGTAATGACATAGAATATTTTTTCTTCTCCTCAATACCTGCACCCCTTTTCCTCCCCTCAACAACCCCCCCACCATACACACACACACACTTCCCCACTTAGTACTGAAATTTTAGGGCTGTAATTTATGGTTGTCAATGAGAAAGAATTCTATTAAAAAATTGTGATTCAGATGATGGACATTCCCCACTAGACAAGAAATGATGTGAAACCAGTCCCTAAAATACAATTGTGTTGTTGTTAGTGCGTGGGGGATTATAAAAATCACCATAGAGTGTGTATAGATATGAAGATGTGAAACCAATAGTGAGAGTAGTGACCAACTTTCATGTTGCTTATTTCAGGTTCTCGGTACGATAAGATGTCCACTTTACACTCTAAGGGACAAGCAAGGAGGTCTGCCTTCATTCTTGAAAAACAACTTTGTTGGTTGTGCCAGACAACAACTTTTAATAGGAATTGCAAGAGAAGAACTATTAAGCATCGAGGAAACTCAAGAAGTGGCAAAATGCTGTGGGATAGAAGTTGATTTATTTTTCCCAAAAATATGAACTATTTTTGAAATAACTGATGGGTGTAAATAATTTTAGGATAAATTATTCAGTAATTTTTTTGAAACAAATGTCAGTTCATGGATGCATTATTCTTTGTTTGAGTGCCATCTATATTCATATGTCTTCTCATGCACATCCGTTAAACAAAGGAATGATACTCTAGGGAATACCACACGTGGTCTGAAAAGGGAAAAACATAGCAACCAAAGATGAATAACGTTGTCATGAGCTATTAACCGTTACTAGATGTGAAACTAAGACTATTCGAGAGAGAAAAATGAGGTTCTTACAGAAAACCTCAAAGCATAAGCTAGAGAGAGCTCTTATGTTATGACGATTTTGGGATTCAAATCGAGCCGAGCAACAGGTACCGTAGCTTTGGTAAAGGCGCCAAGAGTTCCGTTATCATCCCAAACCTTCTTTAAATATGTCTTCATTCCACAAAAGTTCTGTATGTGAACTGACATTTGAGACACTGCGATTCAACATATCACGAGTCCTGTCGCACATGCCTATTTAAACAAACAGATAAAACCTTTGAAAGCACAAAAGGCGTTTTTATCTGTTAAAGAATCTTTGTCAGTACTGACAAACCAGAACGTGGTATGAGTCAACCCCTCAAACAAGGCATCTTTGAAAAACAATCTATAAAATCTTACCCACCAGATAAAAAGATGYCCTACGACGCCTATTAAACGAATTATCCTTCTTACTTCCTTCGTGAAAAAAATCAAACGGTCAATTTGTGCGGTCTGGTYGTTACAGGAGATAAGTTTCTTGTTTACGACAAAAAACTACTTTGTTCTTGTTTCCCGTTAGTAATGGGTCTTGGTAAAGTGCGAGTCCGATAGTTGCTAGTTGCAAGTTGCGAGTTGCGAGTTGCGAGTTGCGAGTTGCGAGTTGCGAGTTGTTCAAAAAATTATACTTTAACGATAACTTCACACTTGTAAAATTATCAAAATCATGGTTATCAAAACCCAAGCAACAAAAGTTTCATTTATTATCACTCAGTACATTGAGGCGTTCCGTTTCTTGTTACATATGCAAACAGCACTCTCACAGCAAAAAAA